CACACCAGCCTCCACAACCACCTGTCATTGTCCAGTACCCACCAGCAGACCGCACCTGGGATTGGCAGGAAGCTGTCAATTTTGTTCCAAATGCCCACCAGTTTGATGACAGCCAAAGTGGAATACGGCCATCTTGTACACTTGGGAACAATGCCACTGAACTGGAATGTTTTGAGTTATTCTTTGACGAACCCCTGATCGAAAGTATTGTCATGGAAAGCAACACATACTATGAGTACACCATGGCAAACACAATACTTTCACCAAAATCACGTCTACACCAGTGGAAGGAGGCAACTGTGGCTGAGATGTATCTTTTCTTTGCCACAATAATGCTTATGCCACATGTGTATAAGCACAAAGTGAAATCATACTGGTCAACAGACCGCCTGATTGCAACCCCAGGTTTCAGTGATATAATGCCAGTGAATCAATTTGTGCTAATGTTACGTATGCTTCACTTCTCAGACAAAACCAGGCCTGACAGAAACGACAGGTTATACATGTATAAGATTAGGCATGTGTTTGTGTATCTGAAAGAGAAATTCAATATGTATTTTTATCCCTTCAGGAAGCTTGTAATTGACAAGTCTTTGATTCTCAAAGGAAGACTCTCTTTCAAGCAGTACATACCAAGCAATAGGAAACGCTTTGGTATAAAGTTGTTTGTGCTTTGTGATTTTTACAGTGGTCTGGTATTGGATATTATTGTGTACACTAGAAGTTATACAGTGGACCCCCGGTTAACGATATTTTTTCATTCCAGAAGTATGTTCAGGTGCCAGTACTGACTGAATTTCTTCCCATAAGGAATATTGTGAAGTAGATTAGTCCATTTCAGACCCCCAAACATACACGTACAAACGCACTTACATAAATACACTTACATAATTGGTCGCATTGGGAGGTGATCGTTATGCGGGGGTCCACTGTACATTGCAAAACACTAGGAAGTTATTGGGCATCTCTGGTGATGTGGTTAGAACAACGATAGAACCATGCCTTGGTAAGGGGCATATAATATATACCGATAACTGGTACACAAGCCTCTCACTCAGTGATTTTTTGTGAGTGAACACGACAGATGTGTGGGGCACAGTGCGTGTAAATCGGAAACATACGCCCAGGTTTGACGCTGGCACTCGTAGAGATGAGGTGCAGGCATTTGCTGCCAATGATATCATGGCATTTCGGTGGCATCACAAACGAGATGTCACACTGTTGTCATCAGTTCACCCTAATGAAATGGCAGACTTTGGTAGGCAGCATAGAGAGAGCAATGAACCCATTCTAAAACCTGCAGCTATGATTGATTACACCTTCAATATGCGTTCAAGTTGAGTCACTGGACCCCTGTCACACAAAAAATCTGTCCAGAGTGTGTTTCTGGTGTCTCTAAGATCTGCCTAAAATGGGACAAGGCACTGTCATTGAACATGTTGCTAATATCGCTTGCAACAGCTTTGTTAGGGTGATATTTCTCCACAAAACTTTGCAACTCACTCCACTTTGCACACATGTCCTTAATCACTGAAGAAGGCACATTCCCCCTCTCTGTTCCTCCTCCTCTGAAGCAATTCTATCGTATTTCTTGCCTTCATCAAAGGGCTGGCACTCGAAACTTTCTTTGGCCCCATGGTGGCTTATTTAGCAGTTGCACTCAATAAACAGGCACAAAACACAATGGATTATTACAAAATGTTTTGTATGAATGCGCAGAGTAATGTTCACTTGACGAGAAACAAAGCCAGACTCGGAACATGTGCAGGCAGACTTGTTCAGTGCAACGGATGAAAACCGAGGTGATGAATGAAAACCGGGACAAAATGAGTCATTGAAAACCGAATTCGACGAAAACCAGGGTAAACAAAAACCAAGGTTCCACTATATTTATTATTACAGTTTTCCAACACTGGCCATCTCTCATGAAGGCAGGGCAGCCCCAAAACAGAAGAAAACCATAAAGTTTCTTTTTCATTTAATAATATTATTATAATGAAAACCAAGCTTTAAAACTACAAGTGTTGTACAATACTGAATATTATTTTTATTGTTTTGGTTTTGTCCAGATGTGTTTGTTTATATACATTTGATGTGTTCATCAAAATACAGTCTCTCATCACTTGACAGCATACTAGTTTAACGAACGCTTGGACTTATGACCAGCTCTCTGGCCAGAATGCATACCTAAGTAATGTATATTAGAGCTGATTTCCTCTATCATGTTTATTAGAGTATACAGGACACTACTGCATCAACATTTAAAAATATACTAAAAAATGTTATAAATGGTGCAAAGGTGACAGTAAAACAATATCTAAAGATGGTTGACACAAACCCACTACCAGTACAGTGGAACCCAGAGTTTTGGCTGCCCTGAGTATTGGCCGCTTCGAGTTTCGACCGTTTTCGGCTAAATTTTTTCCCGAGTTTCGGCCTGTGCTCTATGCTTTGGCCGGCATACCAGACCTGTCTGCCTGCCCGTGTAGGCGCTGTGAGCCAGTCTAGCTTTGTTTATCCAGTTTTATATACAGAAGACAATGAGAAATAAATATAAAGGACTAATGAAGTGGATAAATGAACAGTTAATATCACTTTTACCTTTATTGAAGACTCTTGTTGGCGTATGGAAGACATGAGGAGGGGAGAGGGAGGAGGAGAGGTTATTGTTTGGAAGGGGAATCCCCCTCCATAAGGACTTCAGGAATCAAGTCCCTATCCGGGGTTACTGAATTCTCTCATCAAGTGAGGAATGACTGTGTATGTTGTAGATATCATTGAATGCTATACTCAGATATATTAATTTATTTCTTGGTATAGGTATTAAAAGTATTCTTGCCTGGTGGTGTATAGGTGAGAAGCAGCTACATGCACTCAATAAGTCTTGAATCCTAACCCATCAAGTGCTGGTATCATTCTTTATAAATCCCTGGAGCACATGGATACCACCAGAAAACCCATGTTCCAATGGTACAGTCATAAAGGTTCCATGGAAGGGGAGGATAAGTTCAGTTGCTTGGATTAAAAATCCTTCATTGTTAAATATTTGCATATTTAACCTATAATATTTAATGTTACCATAAGAAGTATTTATGAACAATCTCCCACACACTCCGTGTCAGCAGCCTCCCCCCCACACACTCCCAGCATTCATCTAACTTTAATGTTCTCAGTATGATTTTTTTTTATTTTCACAAATTTGGTACAGTGGAACTTTGGTTTTCATCATTAATTCGTTCTTGAAAGTCTGACGAAAACTGAATTCAACGAAAACTGAAGCAACATTTCCCAAAAGAAATAATGTAAATCAAATTAATCTGTTCGAGACACCCAAAAGTATTAACAAAAAATACGTTTTATAGAGAATAACTATGGTTTTACATACAGAAGACAATAATAAATAAATATAAAGGACTAATGAAATGGATAAATGAACATTTAATATCACTTTTACCTCTATTGAAGAATCTTGTTGGTGTACGGAAGTCATGAGGAACGGAGAGGGAGGAGGAGAGGTTATTGGTTGGAAGGGGAATCCCCCTCCATAAGGACTTCAGGAATCAAGTCCTTATCCAGGGTTACTTCTGAACTTCTTTGTCTTTTACTGGCACTAGACCCCTGTCACACAAAAAAATCTGTCCAGAGGTGTCTCTAAGATTTGCCTAAAATGGGATAAGGCATTGTCATTGACCATGTTGCAGACATGGCTTGCAACAGCTTTGGTAGGGTGATATTTCTCCACTAAAATTTGCAACTTACTCCCCTTTGCACACATGTCCTTAATCACTGAAGAAGGCACATTCCCCCTCCTCCTCCTCTGAAGCAGTTTCCTCGGCTGCAATCTGTTGCAGCTCTTCAGTAGTTAGCTCTTTCCTTTGGTCATCCACCAACTCTTCCACATCCTGGGCACTCGCCTCCAACCCCATGGACTCTCCCTAATCCACAACAGGTGTAGGGTTGTCAGGGTCAGCCTCAAACCCTTCGACACATTCTGGCCACAATTGAATTCTGTCGTGTTTCTCACCTTTATCGAAGGACTAGCACTCGGAACTTTCTTTGGCCCCATGGTTGCTTATTTAGCAGTTGCACTCAATAAACAAGCACAAAAAAACGGATTATTATGAAATGTTTTGGATTAACACACAGAGCAATGCTCACTCAACGAGAAACAAAGTCATACTGACTCAGAACGCGTGGGATGCTTTGTGTGGGTGCAGGCAGGTGGACCTACGAAAAAAGTCGTCAAAAACCTAATTCAACAAAAACCCGAGATCCCACTGTATTTATACAGATTTCAAAATAACATACAAGCTTTCTGTAATGTCATTATTATAATCATAAGCGCTTGACCTGTAAGGGTCATACAGTGCTGTATACTGTCGTGTCAATATTCCTGCATTATGTGCATGTAATTTGATAGAAGTACAGTAAAAATATTATCAAAACTAAGCGCTAAACCAGCAGGGTCGTGCAGCGCTGCTGTAGAAGCAAAAATTATCAGTTCTGGGTAATGTTTTCTAGTTCTTTCTTTGGATGTGATGAACCTCAGTTTAGAAAGATATTGCCCCTACGTACATCCGTCTTGCTCTTATTTACCTACTTTATTCCCCTCAAGGAAGGTTCCTTGATGTTGCTGAGGGGCTCTTGATTTAGGGAATTGGATCCGTGCTCCAGTTCCCTGAATGCCTTCCACATCCCTCCCCCCAGGCGCTGTATAATCCTCCGGGTTTAGCGCTTCCCCCTTGATTATAATAATAATAATACTTATTAATACCAAGAATGAAAAGGCACATTATAATAATCAAAAGCAAGCACTGAACTCAAGGGTCATACAGTGCTCTTTGAAAAGGCACAATAATGGTCCAAATCAGAGTGAAACATCATCGTAAATTTTGTCTCCCATGTGCAAGTTGTTTTTATATGCATTTTGTCTAGTGAGATTTTATAATTCGTAATGTTTATTTTGCTACATACAATTTTTTTTTTTTTTTTAATTTCAGAATGGAGCAGCCTAATTCTCCATGCAGTGAAGCGATGTCAGCCATCAGTGAAGACCTCGATGATGTTTCTAACAAGGAATCCTATGCGTGATAGTTTGTACTTAGTATACCTGCCGATTTATTATTATTTTATATTATACAGAATTTTATATTGTGTGTGGAGAGTAAATAGTAATCTTAATACAGTATTGCTGTAATTCTTGCTTGATTGTGAGAACCCTGATTGTGAGTTATCCAGCGATGATTGTTGGTCATATTTACTGGAGAAATGACCCAGCTTTAAATAGGTGTTGTAAATATGTACAGGAAGTGAAGATGTTTATTGAGAAAGTCCCTTTTTCTTTCACGATCTGTCTCTGGTGCTCAATTTAAGCCTAAACCTTTCAAGAAATAGATAATTTTTCCTTTAATCTCTTTCATGTGTTATGACATTTTAACAGTGACATTCCTAACGTGTTGTAGCATACAGCTGTGAAGTCACCATCGGTGCTTCAGGTGGATCATCCAACAGGTGGAGTTGTATTTCCAATGTCGATATAAAAGGACGGTAAGTCTGTTGGCTTCTCATATATAGCCAAGACTTACTTTAGCATTTATATCATAATTCTAGTATGAAGCTAGGATAATACTCTGACCCTGAAGTATCCATCAGTTCTAATGCCTTCTCTTCATCATCAGTTATACAATACTACAGTTCCCATTCTTGGATTACATTTTCCTTGGATTAGTAATATGATGCGAGCTTATGTTATCTCCATCAAAACTTGAGTTATTTTGGAATGTAAACTTGAAAAGTTATTTTTAATTAATGAATTTTATAATTAATGCTCGCAATATTCTTTAAGGAGAATGGTGTAATATCAGTCAGTGTTTCCCCAAATCTATGCCAGGGGTTCCTAAGTTACAAACATTTTCACTTACAAAGTATTTGATTTATAAAGGAAATGCCTACTTTATAATTGTATTAAATACAATGATTATTTTCATTATTGTTTTCCATAGGAAAATAAAAAAAAGTTTTGAGTTACAAATAACATTTGTAAGTTGCAAACCCAGGAACACAAGGTTTATAAGTTGAAACCTCAAAGTACTGTCTTGAAATAAACTTCTTGCTTTCCCCACTGTGGGAGAACTGTACACTGCTGTGACTACCTCCTATTTTGAAGTCATGCAAGCATTAAAACTGCAGTCTTCAGTGGCAACAAGTATTCTAACTTTCTTGTAATGTACAATATATATAATATATCTATCTTTTCCTTGCCTTATAATTTACTGACAAAGTAGTTTCTTATGTGATGTGTCTTGTAACAAGACTTAGATCACGATGCCACTGAGGATATCTTCATAACCTGCTTCCCAGCTCTTCATGTTAGAAGAGTGGAGACAGCCCAGCACTGTATCTTACTGCTTACTATAGCAACTTACCAGAGGTGGTGGTCAGCTCTGAGGTCTGAAGCTCACGGATGAGAAAGTCAGTGTGCTTTAAGCCAGCCACTTCAAGTGCATAATATACTCTCTCTGATAAACAGTTTCACTGTCCCACAACTAATCCAAAATAGTTGCATTCCCAGTTTTCTTTCCTTCAAGATAATCCGTACATTTATCAAAGTAATAATTCACACAGGAATACTTCAATGACTGCTTGTGCAGTTGTCTTCTGTATCTTGGCTTTGCATCAATATGTAAAACTGTGCTTGCATCAAATGCTATATTCTTTAATATATTCAACTTATATTTTATTATGATGACCTTTATGTAATTGATTGTATATTTGTGGACGTAAACACCATGTCTGGTGTGTATTAGTGAAGGTTAACACCATCTCTGGTCTGCTATAAGGAACTGTATCATTGTAACAACAATAATTATTTCTACCACTTAGTATTCATGTAGTTCTGCCATATTAATCGTCTCCCGTCCTCTACTAGCAGTACATCTCTTTCACTGCTAACACTGAACTAAGTACACTACTGTACTAGCAGTACTGTATGTAAAAGGTATAAAATACCTACACAGTGGAAAATAAACAAATTCATTATAATGTTATCCTTCATTGACTACGTTTCACCCACACAGTGGACTTTATCAAGTCACAAACAGATCTACCTGAGTAAAGAGTACATGAGTATATATAGGGTGGAGAGTCAGGTGGAGAATGGTAGTTAGGTTGAATTTGAGATGGATCTGAACCGGACGGGCAAGTGTGCATGTTATGTAGGATAACAATGAAGAAGTTTCCTGGCAAGGGTTTCATCTATGTTGTAAAAGCCATTGTTCTGGTTGGAATTGTTAAATGTACAGGTAAGTGTTGATTCCAAGATTCTGCAGTGCTGAGTGTCTTCTTCCCTGGTGATGAGTCTTGCATCTCTGTAGTTGATTAAATGGTTGTAGAAGCTTTGGTGTAGAATACAGACATTCCTCAAATCATCCGTTCTGCCTGCATATTGATGGCATTCAGAAATGTGTGTTTGGAGGTCTCTGGCCCACATATAATTGGTTGCAATTGTTGCAAGGGATTGAACCTTGTTGTGTCACTTACTGGTGATGTCTTTGATGGTTGTGGATGTGGAGATAGTAAAAGTATCTTTCACCAAGATACCAAAGCTAAATGTGGTGTAATCATAAGCTTTTTCTTTTGTGCCCTCTAAATCTATAGCAACAAGTTCCTTGAGGAAGAATATTCTCATCGATCAAGTATTTTCTAAACTTCACTATTCTTGTCACCTCATTAGAGACTGCACACGCTGTATATAACATCATCTCGCCCAGAGAAGAAAGGAGATACATAGTCCTCACCAACTCTGTTGCCAACATTTTTTCCAATACCTCATTCCAAGGGTCTACCTCTACATCTGCCATCAAAGACATCACCAGTAAGAGACACCAGTAGGTTCAATCCTCTGCAGGGAAATACATGATCCCTTGCAACAATTTCAATCAATTATACATAGGCAAGACATCCAGAGACCACCAATATGCAGGTAGAACAAACGATTTAAGGAATGCCTGCATTCAACACTGAAGCTTCTACAACTATTTAATCAACTACAGTGATGCGAGACTCGTTGCCATGGAAGAAGACAGTACCGCAGAATCTTGGAATCATCACTTATCTGTATGTTTAACACTTTCAACCAGAACAACAGCTTTTACAACATAGCTGAACCATTTGCCAGTAAACTTCATTATCCTACATAACATACACACTTGCCCATCTTGTGCAAGTCCGTCTCGAATCCAAACTGCCCAACATTCTCCACCTGACTCTTCATCCTATATATACTTATGTACTCTTTACCCAGGTAGATCTGTTTGTGACTTGATAAAGTTCACTGTGTAGGTGAAATGTGGTCAATAAAGGATCACATTATATTGCATATCTGTTTAATTTTTTCACTAGCAGTACTCCCTTACTTCTAACACTGAACTGTGTACACTACTGTACTAGCAGTATTCCTCCCTCACTGCTAACACTGTACCACGACTACTTTGCAGAATGTGCATCTTGAGAGCTGGTTTGTATGGAGTTTACATTATAGATATGTACAGTTTACAATAAGACTAATGAGAGTATCATGATTTTTTTCTTAATCCTTTTATTTCCCATCAACGAGGAGCTGTAATGCTGGGAAAGGGCTTTTGATCCCAAAGGGGCAGTCCTGGAGCCCAGGGAAGAACCTTTAAACCCAGGGAAGAATCCTCGAGCACAAAGTAATCCTTTAGCCAGGGAGGAAGCCTAAAATATTTAAGAGGAAACCTGGAGTGTGGAGTCCTGGAGCCCAGAATACACACATATATGTGTGTGTGTGTGTGTTTCCCACCAAGGCAGAGTGGCCTGAAAAAGAAAAACTTTCATCATTCACTCCATCACTGTCTTGCCAGATGTGCTTACACTACAGTTAAAAATCTGCAACATTAACACCCCTCCTTCAGAGTGCAGACAGTGTACTTCCCATCTCCAGGACTCAAGTCTGGCCTGCCAGTTTCCCTGAATCCCTTCATAAATGTTACATTGCTTACACTCCAACAGCACATCAAATCCTAAAAACCATTTGTCTCCATTCGCTGTCTAACACGCTCATGCACGATTGTTGAAAGTCCAAGCCCCTCGCACACAAAACCTCTGTTACCCCCCTCCAGCCTTTCCTAGGCCGACCCCTACCTTCCCTCTACTACAGATACAGATTTTTACACTCTTGAAGTCATTCTATTTTGTTCCAATCTCTCGACATGTCCGAACCACCTCAACAACCCCTCCTCAGCCCTCTGGATAATAGTTTTGGTAATACTGCACTTCCTAATTTCCAAACTACGAATTCTCTGCATTATATTCACACCACACATTTCCCTCGGACATGACATCTTCACTGCCTCCAGCCTTCTCCTTGTTGCAATGTTCACCACCCATGCTTCACACCTATATAAGAGTGTTGGTATAACTATGCTCTCATACATTCCTCTCTTTGCTTCCATGGACAAAGTTCTTTGTCTCCACAGACTCCTAAGTGCACCACTCAACCTTTTCCCCCTCAATTCTATGATTCGCCTCATCCTTCATCCATCTGCTGACACGTCTATTCCTAAATATGTGAACACATTCACCTCCTCCATACTCTCTCCCTCCAATCTGATATCCAATCTTCCGTTACCTAATGTTTTTTTTATCCTCATCACCTTACTCTTTCCTATATTCACTTTAAACTTCCTTCTTTTACATACCCTACCAAACTCATCAACCAACCTCTGCAGCTTCTCTTCAGAATCTCCCAAAGGCACAGTGTCATCAGTAAAGAGCAACTGTGACAACTCCCACTGTGTTAGATTCTTTATCTTTTAACCCCACACCTCTTGCCAACACCCGAGCATTCACTTCTCTTACTACTTCATCTATAAATATATTGAACAACCATGGTGACATCACACGTCCCTGTCTAAGGCCTACTTTTAGTGAGAAATAATCTCCCTCTCGCCTACATACTCTAACCTGAGCCTTACTATCCTTGTGAAAACTTTTCACCGCTTTCAATAACCTACCTCCTATTCCATTCATTTGCAACATCTGCCACGTTGCCTCCGTATCCACCCTATCATATGCCTTTTCCAAATCCATAAATGCCACAAAAATCTCTTTACCTTTATCTAAACACTGTTCACCAGTGTGTTTCACTACAAATACTTGGTCTACACACCCTCTACCTTTCCTAAAGCCTCCTTGTTCATCTGCTATCCTGCTCTCCATCTTACCCATAATTCTTTCAATAACTCCCCTATAATTTTTACACTCTCTTCTGTCCCCTTTGCCCTTATACAAAGGAACTATGCATGCTCTCTGCCAATCCTTAGGCACTTTACCCTTTTCCATACATTTATATCCCCACCTGCTTTTAACATTTCTATCTTTATTCCATCAATCCCAGCAGTTTTACCCCCTTTCATTCTACTCACTGCACCATGCACTTTCCCCATGATCACAACTGGTTCTTCCTCACTCCTATAAGATGTTACTCCTCCTTGCCCTATACATGAAATCACAGCTTCTCTATCTTCAACAACATTTAACAATCTCAAAATATTCCCTCCAACTTCCCGATACCTCTAACTCTCCATTTAATAACTCTCCTCTCCTATTTTTAACAAATCCATTCTTTCTGTAGGCTTTCTCAGCTTAATAATCTCACTCCAAAACTTTCTTATTTTCAACAAAATTTGTTGATAACATGTCGCCCACTCTCTCACATGCTCTCTTTTTACATTGCTTCACCACTCCTTTAACCCACTTTTACTCTCCATATATTCCTCCCTCCTTGCATCACTCCTGCTTTGTAAATCCCTCTCATATGCTAACTTTTTCTTTATTACTACACTCTTTACATCATTCCACCAGTCACTCTTCTTCCCTCTCGCACCCACTTTCCTGTAACCACAAACTTCTAATGAACACTAGCACTGTATTCTTAAACTTACCCCCATACATCATCTACCCCATTGCCTGTATTCTCACTAGCCTGTCCTCCAACAGTTGTTTATATCTTGCCCTAACTGCCTCCTCCTCTAGTTTATAAACCTTCACTTCTCTCTTACTTGCTGCTTCCATTTTCCTTGTATCCCATCTACCTTTTACTCTCACTGTAGCTACAATTAAAAAGTGATCTGATATATTTGTGGCCCCTCTATGAACATGTACATCCTGAAGTCTACCCAACAGTCTTTTATCTGCCAATACGGAGTCCAACAAACTACTGTCATTTCGCCCTACATCATATCTTGTATGCTTATTTATCCTCTTTTTCTTAAAATGTGTTACCTATAACCAAACCCCTTTCTACACAAAGTTCAATAAAATGCTCCCCATTTTCATTTACACCTGGCACCTCAAACTTACCTACCACACCCTCTCTAAACACTTCTACTTTAGCATTTAGGTCCCCTACCACAATTACTCTCACTTGGCTCAAAAGCTCCTACACACTCACTTAACATCTCCCAAAATCTCTCTCTCTCTACACTCCTCTCGTCTCCATGTGCATGCACACACTCATTATGACCCACGTTTCACATCTGACCCTTATTTTAATCTCCATAATCCTTGTATTTATACATTTATATTCCCTCTTCTCTCTCCATAACTGATCCTTCAACATTATTGCTACCCCTGCCTTAGCTCCAACTCTCTCAGATACTCCTGACTTAATCCCATTTATTTCTCCCCACAAACTCCCCTACCCCCCTTCAGCTTTGTTTCACTTAGGGCTAGGACGTCCAACTTCTTTTCATTCATAACCTCTGCAATCACTTTCTTATCTGCACTACATCCATTTGTACAGGAGAAGGGGTTACTAGCCCATTGCTCCCGGCATCTAATCACCACCTACGACATGCATAGCTTACGGAGGAAAAATTCTGTTCCACTTACCCAGGGAGAAACAGAAATAAACAAGAACTAGGAAGAAAATAGAAGAAAACCCAGAGGGGTTAGTATATATATGCTTGTACATGCATGTACTTGCCTAATTGTGATTGTGGGGGTCGATTCACAGCTCCTGGCCCCGCCTCTTCAGCTGGCAGCTACCCGGTTACTCTTCCCACTCAGTGAGCTTTATCATACCTCTTCTTAAAGCAATGTATGGAACCTGCCTCCACTAAATCACTCTCCAGGCTATTCTACTTCCTGACAACTCTGAAGAAATACTTCCTAACATCCCTGTGGTTCATCTGAGTCTTCAACTTTCAACTGTGACCCTTTGTTGCTGTGTCCCATCTCTGGAACATCCTGTCTCTGTCCACCTTGTCTATACCTCTCAGTATTTTATATGTCGTTATCACATTCCCCCAATTCTCCTGTCTCTGTGTAGTGTGACCTAAGTGTAAGTAGAAGTAGCAAGATATACCTGCAACCTTGTATGTTTATGAGACAGGAAAAGACACCAGCAATCCTACCATCATGCAAAACAATTACAGGCTTATGTTCCACACTCATTTGGTAGGATGATAGTACGTACCTCCCTGGGTGGTTGCTATCTACCAACCTACTACCATAGTCTTTCTTCTTTCTTTCAACACCGGCCGTATCCCACCAAGGCGGGGTAGCCCAAAAGCAAAAACGAAAGTTTCTCTTTTACATTTAGTAATACATGTATATACAAAAGAGGTTACTAGCCCCTTGCTCCTGGCATTTTAGTCGCCTCTTACAACATGCATGGCTTACGGAGGAAGAATTCTGTTCCACTTCCCCATGGAGGCAAGAGGAAATAAACAAGAACAAGAAAGAAAATAGAAGAAAACCCAGAGGGGTGTGTATATATACGTTTGTACATGTATGTGTAGTGTGACCTAAGTGTAAGTAGAAGTAGCAAGACATACCTGAAAACCTTGCATGTTTATGAGACGGAAAAAGACACCAGCAATCCTACCATCATGCAAAACAATTACAGGCTTATGTTCCACACTCATTTGGCAGGATGGTAGCACCTCCCTGGGTAGTTGCTATCTACCAACCTACTATTATATATACATATATATATATAAACACACACCTACCATCCGACTTACGACCTGCTCGACTTACGACCACTCGACTTACGACCGTGTTTTTTATGCCAAATTTCTGGGAAATAAACAGCTATTTGTGTTGTACACAGTGTTTATCCTAAACCTTACAGTATAAAATACAGTACTAACAACATAAAAAGTAAAGTAAAACTTGAAATACCAAAATAAAACAAAATAAAGTCATTACAAAAATATTTTGTTGATATTCAGTAGTAAAGTTCGACTTACGATCATTTCGACTTACGACCGGTTTCTCGGAACCGAACTCGGTCGTAAGTCGGATGGTAGGTGTGTGTGTGTGTGTTGTATTATATTATATATATATATATATTATATATATATATATATATATATATATATATATATATATATATATATATATATTTATATATATATATATATATATATATACACAGTGGTCCCTCGTTTTTCGTAATTAATCCGTTCCTGGAGGTGTGACTATTATCGAAATTTATGATTTTCGAATCAATTTTCCCCATAAGAAATAATGTAAATACAATTAA